TGCTGGCTGGGGTTAAACCACAACAAAGTTTAAATTATTAAAAATCAGATTTCAAAACAGAATGAAGATTACACCATTACCACCCAAGGTTTATGCAAGATATTCTCAATAAAGTAGGATAGAGAAATATATGACTATATTTCTCATAGAACGATAGCATCATTTCGCCTAGAGGGCACCCTGGAAGGTACCTGATCCATCCTCATGTTCTAAACAGTCACAATGAAGAAAAGGCTCCAAGGAAGCAAAACAGTTTTATATTCACAGTTACGCATGCCACCAAGATAATTATTGGATCCCAGTGTTACAGAAAGAAGTTTGAAGGGCTCTCCTCCAAAACTGATTATGTTCTAAGAATGACCAAATGTCAGGTAAATGCAAAAATGGAAAAATGTCTGAGCCAAAGGTATAAAGTCACATATATGTAACAATTTAGTATGAGGTTTGTTTCTTCAGAAAGCAATATTAAAATATCCTTCTCATCAGTCTTCCGCTCAGTCTTTACCAAATCTTCTATATTTTAGTTTAAAATGTATGTAAAAACACAGTTAATTCTGAGAGTTTTGTTGTGAAGTTCATTTAGTTCATAACAGAGTTCTGCTGCCCTGCTAAAATGGCAAAATCTCAAGATCAAACTCAGACTGAGACCCCAAACATCTGGCAAACAGCTGAACCATCTAAGAATCTGGCTTTCAGAAAAACCCAGCAACTTTCTAGAATGCATTAGTATTGCTGTTTACATTAAAAGTCCTCTGAAACTGCTAAGTAAAATTAATAGTATTTATTCATACTAGGAATTATGCCTTAAAACAGCCTGTAAAAATAATTTCAACTCTCAAATTTTAATAGCAGATTAAACTTAGTGAATATACTGAAGACCTTTATATGTGACCATACAGAGCTGTATTGGGTTTGTGTGGCAAGGTTTCGGTAGCGGGGGGGGCCACAGGGGTGGCTTCTGAGAGAAGCTGCGGAGTGAGGGTATGGGAGAGAAACAACCCTGCAGACCCCCAGGTCGGTGCAGAAGGAGGGGGAGGAGGTGCTCCAGGCGCTGGAGCAGAGATTCCCCTGCAGCCCGTGGGGAAGACCACGGTGAGGCAGGCTGTGCCCCCGTAGCCCGTGGAGGTCCACGGTGGAGCAGATCTCCACCTGCAGCCCATGGAGGACCCCACGCTGGAGCAGGGGGACGCCCAAAGGAGGCTGTGACCCCATGGAGAGCCCACGCTGGAGCAGGTTTGCTGGCAGGACTTGTGACGCCCCCCACTGGAGCAGTCTGCTCCTGAAGGACTGCAGCCCGTGGGAAGGACCCACGTTGGAGAAGTTTGTGGAGGACCATCTCCCATGGGAGGGACCCCACGCTGGCGCAGGGAAGAGTGTGAGGTGTCTTCCCCCAGAGGAGGAAGGAGCGGCAGAGACAATATGTGATGAACTGATCATAACCCCCATTCCCTGTCCCCCTGCACCGCTGGGGTGGATAGGTAGAGAATTCAGGAGTGGAGTTATGCCTGGGAAGAAGGGAGGGGTGTGGGGAAGGTGTTTTCAGATTTAGCTTTATATCTCATTACCCTACCCTGGTTTGATTTTCAATAAATTAAATTAATTTTCCCTAAATCAAGTCTGTTTTGCCCATGATGGTAATTGGTTGAGTGGTGTCTCCTTGTCCTTATCTCAACCCAGAAGCTTTTTGTCATATCTTCTCTTCCCTCTCTAGCTGAGAGGGGAGTGATACAGCAGATTCGGTGGGCACCTGGCGTCCAGCCAGGGTCAACCCACCACAAGAGCACACTTTTTTAATTTCCATTTTTATCAGTTTTGAAATGTTATCGTGTACTTGCTGCACTTTATTTTTGGAATTTGTAATTTTATCATCTTTGAATTTTCCAGTTGATAATATCCTTATTTCAATTTAGATTTTATTTGTAAATTGAATTACTTGCTTCATCTCTTTCTTCTGTCTATATATCGTTCTCCTTTTCTATTCACTTCCATGTCTTCTTGGCTCTGTTGTCAAAATAAATATGAAGAACATTTTGTGCATAATTTATTAGAGTAAAACTATCTGCTCTTTCAGAAACATTTTAAGAAGTAAACCTTCAACACTTCTAGAAGCAACAGAAATAAAAATATTTCATCCTAATATAATTCACCCATGTTTCAAAATGTTCTGTTCAAGTAAAAACCTCTAAAACCTTCCCAAGCAGATGTTTGAGAACCATGTGGTACTTGCACAAAGAAACCAAATATGGTAGCAAGCCTGGCAAGGGATTACAGAAGGTGGTTTTAGGTGCTTTTCATCTATGTGGTGCCTCAGCAGAATTTGCATCTCAGACTAGAATCAAAATGGCCTAATGCTGTGTTTGGAAGTGCCCTGGGTAAACTCATAGGAATACTGACAACGGGGCCATCTGGAGAGCTTTGAAACACAAAATTACAAAGTTGCACTTTTCTGAGCCAAGGGCTTTGGACTAGTCTCCTGGAGCAGACTCATACTCTCCAAAAGCTAACAAGACCACTTGGAAAAAGTGTTACTGACCATCTTCTATAAAATAAAGTAGCAGTAAAAGGATTCATCCAAGAAAAGGCAGTGCTTAACAGGGTTCAAACTTATCTCTTTGCCCTTTCAGGGAAGCACTTTCATAGCAAGCTAGAAGGCTAAGCTTGCCAGAACTGTGAGGATGCTCTACTAGTTCACATTTCGAACTGTGCAACCGCAGAGCAAACAACCTGTTAGGTCCGTGGGTGACACAGAGAGACTGGAGATAAGGAAATGTCACACTGAAGCACAGACTGCAGACTAAAGGTTTGGCCATTCATCCGAGGGACAAGACATGGGGGTTCTAATTTCTGCTTTCAAGACAGCTGTAAAATGTATTAATGGTCCTTAGAGTGTCTTGTGGACATTTGGTAGCCTGAGTCCTTTTATGAATTTGGACCTCAGCTGATCCTTGTTCAGTGATTGCAGATGCTTCACAAGCAATCAACCAGTGAGACAAATA